GAACAAGTTGTATAGTGAAGCCAGCTGGTATCACAACAGTCCATGTTATCCAGCATCAGCTGGTTTATCAAGGCTGGTAGGCAATCATTTATCTCTAGTTGACTCCTCCTTCATGAAATCTTTATTAAAAACCTTTTCTGCTTTTCACACTCTCTTAGAAAGTCCCCAAATCCATGTGCATCTCCTTCACTATTAACAAATGGAAGACTTGCCTCTAATGATTATATGGTATGAATTGCCTTCACTTCCTTGCATTCAACCACAACTCGTCTGCACTTTATCCCTCTTCTCTTTCTTTCTTATTCTCTTTTCTTCTCCTATTTTATGGTTTGGATCTGGAATATTTCCCCAAAATCACATGTATAGAAGACTTGGTCCCCAATGCAGCAATGTCCAGAGGTGAGACTTTGAGGAAGTGATTGGATTATGCAAACTCAAAATTGAGTGGATTATTGGCAGGTGAGACCTAGCTGGAGGAAATAGGTCACTTGGGGCATGTCCTGGAAAAGGGTTTATCTTACCCCCAAACTTAATTTTCTCCTTCATTCTCTTTCTTTGTTTCACTCTCTCCCTTATTCTCTATTCTCTTTCTCTCTCTCTCTCCCCCCTCCCTCACTTTTTTTTCTCTCTCTCTCCTTTCTTCTTAAGCAAGTTTTCTCTGCCATGCTCTTCTGTCAGGATGCTTCTGCTTTGGATTCAGTGACCATGTGCTAAAATATCTGAAATGATGGGCCAAAATGAATTTTTCTCCTTCAAATTGTTTGTGTCAGGAATTTTGGTCACAGTAACAAAAATGTGACTAATACATCTCAGGATTTTCTTCATTCTCCTCCTTCACAGTCATTCATTCACACAATATTAACAACACAAAGGTCTCACTTCTGCAATTCTTGTATTGTGTCATTCAACTACTGGGTATCCTCTGGATAAATACAACTACTAGATTTGCTGCTAACGCTTTAAATTCTTTAAGAATCCTTCCAATTCTATAAAATTATGTGGATCTATAAAATTACCTGAATATTTGTCTTTATCTTCTAATTAATTTTTCAGATCAAAATAAATTATCTTTTTTCTTTCTATTCCTAGTGCCAAACATCCATAATATTTTCAAGTAGAGTTTAAAACTCTATCAAATTCTTCCTCCAGGATTTAGTCCCATAATACATTCCTTTTGGCGATCTTATGAGTTTATTCTTGTTCTAAAGTGAACTCACATTTTCCTGCTTCTCCAAATGTCAACCCAAATGAAAGATCCCTGCCAATAGATTTCCCAAATGATAACCTAAAGTTGCCAAAAATAGTCTCCTGAGAGAGTCTCCCTTCACTCTGGCAGGATTTATGTCCAATAGGCAGGGCTCCCTGACGGCTATACCTGCCAGCTGTCACTGAGTTGACTCCAGGTGGACATTTCAGCTAATTGACAATGCTGTTGGAGGAATTGGAATCTAACTTCAGTGACTCATAGCAAAGGCAATTAACCTTCCTTTAGGAATAGAAGGACAAAATGCCAAATGCAGCAGGTTGTATACTTTCACTCATAAAATATATAACTTGTCAAAATCACTCTTCTTTAAATGCTTTAATAGAAATCCTTGGCAGGAACATACATTAATGATTTCCATATTAATTCAGTATTCCATTGTTCATTTTATCCCCAAACTCTTTGTACCTCTCAGGTAGTGCTATTATGCTTAATCTTGAGTATGGATCTCATGACCAGCTCATTTTGCAAGGAAGAGGCTGCCTCTGCTATATTCAAAAGTGCTCTGTGCCTCTCCCTGAATGTCCTGTGCTGAAATTAGTAATAGCAGGCTAAATTGATAATGGAACAATATTTAATAACTTATTGTAAAGTTGGATTATGTAGTTCCAAAATAATTAAATAGAAAATATCACAAGGCAAAAAAGAAAGGGGAAAGAGTTTTCAAAGTTGAGAAATCTCTTTTGTCAAATGAAACTCATTCAGGGTTACTTCCCAATTTAAAAGCATTTGGATATCATTAGTTTAATGCCAAATTTGATTTTCTTTACATATTTTAAAAAACAATTCTTGTGTTAACGTTTCATTTCTGTAACCAAAATATCTGATAAGAACAATTTAGAGTAGGAAAAAGTTATTTGGGGCTCATGGTTTCAGAAGGTCAGTCCATAGTAGCCAACTTCATTGCTCTGGGTCTGTAGTGAGACAGAACATCATGGGGGAAAGGCACGGTAAAAGAAAGCTTCTCAGTTCATGGCAGCTAGGAAAAAGAGAAAGAAAGATAGGAGCAAGGGACAAGATACAATCCCCAAGGGTATGCCCTGGTGACCTACTTCCTCCAGTCATCCTACCTACCCACAGCTACCACCCAGTAGACCATTTGAATTATTAATCCATCAAATGGATTAATCCACTGTTGAGGTTGCAGCTCTAATAATCTAATCATTCCACTTCTGAACAATATGGCACTAGCACATGAGTTTTTTGTTTGTTTTTTTTTTGGGGGGGGGACACTTCATATTCAAAATATAACAATCTTCAAATAAAAATTTAAAATTTCACCTAATCCTTTAATGGCAAGAATAATTTGACTGCCAAATTTATAAAATAATAGAAAATAAATTAAAAAGGTTATACTTCAAGAGAAAATAAAATCATCTCCCATTAGAGTAAAACAGACATGGAGTGCAGGTTCTTGGGCTCTGAAGTCTATGTAAGCTACATTAGCGCTCCTATTAAAATTCATATCACATCTCAAGTTTGTTTCTACTGAAAACTGCTCTGCTTGATCTGATCTGTTATCAGTCAGATTTTAAGTAGCACTCCTCTTACCTTTAAGAATATGATAAGGTGTCCTATTGAGCCATCAAACTAATTTTGTTTTTTGTTTAATCTCTCAAAATGCTGCTGCCAAGGGAGAAGGGAGCCCAAGTGAAATTCTGCTACTAGGCAGGTGCTGGCTGCACCCCACCCCCAGTAATTCAGTCTTCCTTTCCACTGCCAAAGGAAGGCTATTCGAATTTCTCAGCTATAGCAGTTTTACTTGTCCTTTTCTCTCTTCGCCCTCAAGATATTCTCAGAGGGGTTTTACTCAATGCCCTAGGAAGCTGAAGTGGTACAGGAGTGATATGGTAATTGCGTGTGAGCTACAGTTGAGGCCTAATGAACATTATGTTTATGAAGAATGTAGCTCTGATTTCTAAAAGCACTTTGGTAAATTATACAAATTAAATATTCATTACTTTGTACTTCATTAGTTCACATTTGGAACTCTTTTTCTTCATTATAATAGCCTGGAGTAAAAGCTTTTTTTGTTTTTTAATACATTTTATTCTGTTATTTTTTTCAGAAACTCTTTACTTACATTATTAGGGCAAAACTATGTTTTTTTTTCCCCATGGAGGCCATAATAGTCAGAGTTTTCCTTTAAAAAACATGTGTTTACTTCACACAAAGAAAGTGAATACGTGTGTGTTTGCAGTTCTTATTTCCATAGTCAGCATAAAAATATGTAAACTTTTTGTATTAGTTCTAATCAGTTATACATAACAGTAAGAAAACTCTTTGATTCATTGTACAAAAATGGAGCATTTAAACTTTTCATTTTGATTTTCACTCAAAGTTTACTTACTACTCTTATTCCTTTAAAAGAAATGTTATTTTATTAGGGATAAACCTCAGCCCTAAGCTACAGGTACTGCAGTGTTAAAATGAAGGTGCATTTTCCATGTTGGAATAACCCTATCATGATTTATTAGACATCAGGCTCCCAGAAGTTAGAAATCCTTTAAGTAGTAAGGTTGTTTGTCTGAGGTAGGTGATAAATAGAGAGCCTTCCTTGGCACGTGGAAATTAAAATAGAAGGAAGAATTATGATTGGAGCTACTCTTTTTCCACTTCTAAACACCCTAGTCAGCTAAAATGTATTCTTCCCTTGACATATTCAGCAAATACTGAAAATGAGAAACCCCTGGTAGGACTTGACCATTTGAATGTGTGCTGCAGGACATCATATAGCTACAGCCAAGACTGGAAACATCTGGCTTAAAACCATACTTGTGGGAAAAATAAATGTCTCCAAATTTAGAGCTCTTCAGATTGTTTTTTTCACTTGGGACTTACACCAATGGCAATTAAAGATGGATTTCTACTAAGAGATGAGGGGAGATGTGAATTCAAAAACATCTTGAAATGGAAAAACAGCCTACCTGAACTTAAGTAAAATGATGTTTAAATTTTAAGGTACACTTGAATAGGAAAGGGAAGATTTAAATTTGAGTTCTAGTTGCATCATATAATCTTTTAATTTTTTTTTAGAACAACCAGCAAAATAAAATTCCAGTTTATTGTTGAGCAACATTGTTTCACACATACATCAAACAGGCCAAAAATAAATAAATAAATAAACAGCAACTTCACCGACAAAAAAAAAAAAAATGCAGGAGGAAAAAAAAAAGAAATCTTTGGACTTTTTAACCATCTCATACAAACCAACCACTTATAGAACAGCTAAACTACATATACACAAAAAATTACTGGAATGCTCAGAAAAAGATTTTTTGTTGTTTTGCTTTTTTTTTTTTTACAAGTGTTTTTTTTTTTCTCTCTCCTTTGAGATTATAATGAACATGGTGACACCACAAATAAAGTGTCTGAAGTAGGACAGAGAATGCTCCCTCCAAAGGCTGTTTTGGTCATCTGAGATCATTAAAAATAGCTGACCCCTAACAATATGTACAAAAATATAAAATGTAAATAAAAAATACAAACAAATTTTCCTTTTTCTAAAGAACCTTTAAGAAAAGAAGCAGGGCCTTGGAAGTTTTGGTTCTTTTATCCTTCCCCTGTTGCAAATTCACGTTGTGGTTTTGGTAGGGTGGTGAAGAGCCCGAGTCATCTACGGGTGGCACTGCCCAAGGTGGGCAGGCTGGCTGGTCCCTACTCAAACGTGACCATGTTTAGATTCTGAGACAGGAAGTGGCAAGTGAGTAGATCAGGGCAGCCTTTCATTTTTAGTTTAACTTTCCGTTTTTGCTGTCCAGTCGTTCTCATCCGTCTTCTGCTTCTTGGTATCTACATCATCCTCCTCGCCATCTTCAGCTGCCTGTTTGCCTGTGGCTGCCTCAGTCTCCTCATCTGCAACTCCATCCTCTTCCTCACCTTCACCTTCCTTCTCCTCTTTCTCACCACCCTCTTCTTCTTCTTCATCCACCTCATTGTCAGCCTCCTGCTCCCCATTTTCCTCATTAACATTCCCATTACCAGGGGCGCCTTTTCCATTCTCTGGCTCCTCCACAACTTCCTCCTTCTCCTTTGCGTCCTGGTTGGTGATCTGGGAGCTAGTGTCCAAGGCCGCATCTGATGTGTGAGGCACGTGGAGATCCAACGACGCAGTGAGTTAAAAAGGAAACTAGAGTTCTGGGACTCTGGAGGTAAAGCTACAGGAGTAATCGATGGCAGAGGAGGGGCCCGGAGGAGGGGGTTGCAAAGAGCTGGGAGCTGGACCCAGGAACAATGCAAAGATGGCTTTTCAGAGCAACCAGTGGGTTCATATCATCTTTTGAACTTGATAATATCCCTTAATTTGTTTAAACACCGGTGATCTAATCTGGTAAATGGAAATAATAACTACTTTGCCCAGTTCTCTTGATTTTTAGTGCACATATAGTGAGATTATAAAACAATTTTTAAAAATGGAAACCTAAGAAATTTTCAATCAAAATATTCTATAGGTTCATGATATTAAAATTCAAATTATGAGTTCCATACTTTCCATAAACTAAAATATCAATGATAAAACGTGCACTTCAGTTTAAAGCAAAATGTAGAGACACCTGTGGTGCAGGTAATTATCTTCTCCTAAGTACTGACCAAATTATGTTCTACCAACACACACCGGCAAGATGGCCTTTATATATCATTTAGGGGAGAGCTTATTCATTATTCTTTTTGTTTCTAGGATCTATTTTCGTTGACTTTTCTTCCATAAATTACTTGAAACAATAATAGAGTTCTAACGATAAGCTTTCAGGAAGAGTTTGAAAGAGATGACAATGAGTGGCTTTGTAGGTACTAAATCTACTTGTCAAACTTGGAAGAGTCCAGAGAGCATCAGAGAGAGGTGAGGAAAGAAGCAATCTGATGACAGAAGAAGTTCAAACAAAAAGCAGAACAGAGACTAGGGAAAAGGTGTGGGCTAACTGTTTTGTTTGCATAATCTGGTAGAGAAGCTCTTGAAAGAAACTAAGAAAGAAGAAAGGTAAAAGGAAAGAATTTAGTTCAGAAAAAAATGTGTAAAGATTAATTGGAGCAGCAGTGTTTTTCATGTATCCAAGGAAAAAAATGACTGAGAGATCATCTTGGGTGCCAAAAAGCAATCTTTAAATAGACTCTGACATTCTGAGGATAGGAAAAACAAAAGCCCAACATGTAATATTTTCCTGCTGTCTACTTTAGATTCACAGGTCACAGAATGCTTCTATGACCCAGATATTGTACAGGGATTTTCCCACACACACCAACCAAGTAATTTTGCCACTGACACCACCAACTGTCTTCTAATTCAATTTAATTCTGACACTATCTACCTGGAGATAGTGCCTGGTCATTCAGGTTGAGAGCTCTGTTCCCCAAAACTGTCCTCTCACTTCCAACGTCAACTTCTAGCCCCAGGTTGTGACCTGTGCGTCTGACTGACCATCTATAAATCAGGGTTTCTACAACCTCTGACTAGTTTGCTAGGGCAGGTCACAGAATTCAGGGAAACACCTTACTTATATGTACCCATTTATTATAAGGGATACTAGAAAGGATTCAAACAAATAATCACTGAAAAGATTCAGAGGGCAAGGCATGTGGGAAGAGGCATAGAGCTTCTAGGTATGCCACCTCTGTGGGTGTGCCACCCTCCAGGAACATAATCTCTCCAAAGCCTTTAGGTTTTTATGGATGCTTCATTACATTGTCATGATTGAATATATCATTGGCTGATGGTGATGGACTCAACTTTCAGTTCCTCTCCACTTCCCAGAGTTTAGGGTGGTGGAGCTCAAAGTCACAGGTCTTTAATCATGCTTTGGTCTTTGCAGGGTAGAGAGAAGCAGCCCATGCTGAAGTCGCCTTGACACCTCTTAGAATTTGAATCTAAAATGTCCCCCAAAGGCTCATGTGTTAAAGGTTTGGTCACAAATGGGGGTGCTACTGGGTAGTGGTGTAAACTTTAGAAGGCGAGGCGTAGTTGGAGGAAGTGGGTCACTGAGCGTGTGCCTTTGAAGGGTGCATTTTGGCCCTGAGTGCTTCCTCTCCCCTAACCTGGCACCACCGAATTTGTCAGCCAGTGCATTTGAGGAGAGACTGGTAATTGGAAAAAGTCAAAGATAATGGGAAAATTACATGTTAATGTAATAGGATTGCTAGAGGGTTTCCTATAGGATAAGAGTGACAGGCTAGGATAAATATTAGGACTAACACAGAGATGCGATAATGCCTTTTTCTGTTCTCTATTGATCTACACTTATGCCTGACATTAAAAGTTGTTTAAAATTTACCTTATTCAATAAGCCTCTTCAGAAAAACCACAGAGTCATAATAGCTAGAATATTTTAAAGAATTCATCCATCCATCTTCTCCTTGAATACCTTCAATAACATCCCAGCCACCTGGGTGTCTGGCTTTTGTTCAACACCTCCAGGGATGAGATATCTACTGTTTCCTGAAGCCACATATACCCTGGTGAACTTTGTATGTGAGAAACGACTTCCTTTGGTTGAGCTGCCAACTGACCTTCTATATAGATTCTTCCTATTACCAGTTCTGCCTCTGTTGGACCTTGCCCATTCTACTGAGTTCTGAATTCCTTACTTTCTCATGCTAATGTACTGAGCAAATTTTATACAGAATTATATACTATGATACTCTAAATTCATCTCCCCTTTTATCCTCATAGTGATAACAGGCCTTCACCAGTCTCTTAGTCTTGATAGTATCATGGGTCCAGGGTTCTATGACAAACACACATTCATCAAATTTCTATGAGGAAGGACATCAGTGAGCCTATGATGTACCAGAAATTTGACACAGATTATGGCATTCGATATTACTGACACCTTCATGTAGATAGTTTAATCCTTCTACACTTAGACACTGACTATAGTATTATTTTCCCAGGTGCTGATTTTTTTTATGTCTACTCCTGCATTCCCTTTTATTTTCTTTCAGTGTTTATATTTTTATTTTTTTAATATTTTCTTTTATAAAAGTTTTCCAATGCTTTCATGAATGAGGCAAGATTTAAGAAAAATAAATGGTATTTGAAATTGATGTTTTATGTATGGAGTGCTGATGATCAAAGAGGCTGAGTAACTTGACCAAGAGATGATCAGACTCTGGAAAATGGATTCTCAGTAACTGAACTCTTGAAAATCTGATTTATAAACTTGAAGTCTCATTTACTACTTTTAATGGAAGATCTTTGTGGAAGAATAACTGATGGCCATCTTTGCACAAAGAGCTCAAAGACCAAGTCACAAATCAAATCACATATCAGAAGATACACTTAGTTAGAGCCACTGAAAAAAAGTGTCTATGATACTAAAATGATATGCACATAAATATAAAAATGCTTGACTATTAATCTTCTTTACCTAGGGATGTTTCAAGCAAAGGGTTTTTTTAAAAAATGATCATTAAAAGTGTAGTGTCAGCTCCCTCAGATATCTTTTGAAGCTAAACTATCCCAGTTTTATTTTACAACATTTTATTCTCAATGTTATTGATTAGTTACCTACATTTTCAAGCAATGAATCACCTAATATTACAATTACATTTAATTGATTATATGTTATTTTTTTAATTCAGAGAGAAATGTTTGTTAATATCTAAAATATTACAAAGGTATCCCATTTATTTAGATAAATATTTTTGGTTTCCATTTCCTGCATGTCATTGTATGACTAAGTTCAGGGCTCTGCCTTCCCTGACACAGGGAGTCAGGCCACACCCCAGGAGAGCAATGGAATGTTTCCCTCAAAGAAAATGGGTATTCTCTATATGATGGAAAAAGTTCTAGAACCAGGAGAAATGGAATGTGGAGTCCAGGTTGAAGCACTGTTCAAAGAGACTAGGTCCAGAGGAATTAAGCAGTCCACAATAACAAGGACAGAGGCCTGGGGATGAGAAAGAATTGCTCAGTGGTGTCTTTAACAGTAGAGGGTTGGGGGACTTCCTGATTCCTCTCACCATTTAAGGAAGTTAGAAGTTGCCACTCCATCTGAACAACAAGCAAAAAGTTGAACTGTTAATGCAACAGCTCACCTAAGTTCCCTTAGAGATGTGAGGTCACTGGTCAAACCACTGCCCCAACTTTAGAATGATAAACAGGCAAATGCAGAGAACATGAATCACTGGAGCAGAAGCCTCTGTGGGAAACGGTGATGGGATGGGATCCTGAAATGTAATTGACAAATTACTGGAAGCTCAGTGTGGGCAAGTCTGAGAGTTAAAAACTGTATGTGAAGGCAGACATAGCCCCCTCCCACAAGATCTTTCAAGCTTAGCTCTAGGAACCTTACCAGTCCTCACAGTGACTGTCACAGACCAGGCCTTCAGGAGAAACTATCTTAAGAACCTAAACTGCTGGTGTTTCATCAGAAACTAACCTCCGTAGGGGACAGGAGATACCCAATTCTATGCCCTCTTGCCATCCTGACCCACATCAAGGTGAGAGGGGTGTTTTGAATGGGACTAAGCAGCATTGATACAGTTTACAGCCAGGGCACATGTTCACCATAAGACTGAGGCCTAAACATAGAACTGCAGGGTACTTTCCCCTGCCCTATACCTTACCACCTCCTTACTAATATGCTAAGGGCTCTAATGGGAAAAAATACAAGAATAGATGGATAATATTAGCAGAAAGATGGAAATTCTAAGAAGTAATAAAAAGAAATGCTAGTGACTGAAAACACTAAGAGAAATGAAGATTGCCTTTGATAGGCTCTTTAGTAAACTGACTGAGCTTGAGAATATGACAATAAAAACTCCAAAACTGATCAAAAAAAAAACAGAATACACAAGAATTGTGGGATTTATTCTGAAGCAGAATCCTAGGCATATTATATTCAAACTTTGGAAAATCACAGATAAAAAAAATTTTTAGAAGAGTAGAAAGGTCAGAGTTGATGAACTCTAGGAGCACTAATTTCCCTCATAAAACTCAAATTTTGTATCTTTTGTATGTAATGCTGTTGTGGAATGTTCAAGATTTCAAGGACATTTCCTGGAAAGGCACTTCTTAATGTATTTAGAAGACACGGATAAGGCAAAGTTTTTTTCTTGGAAAAAGGAAGGGGATCATAAAA